ATAGTTAATGCCCTGTGAATTAACATGAACATGTTGATTAACATCAACAAACAATAAATGCTGCAAAAATAAATTGTTCATTGTTAGTTCATTTTAGTTAACGCATTAACCAATGTTAACAAATGAGACCTTATTGTAAAGTGTTACCAAAACCTTCAATTATTTATAAGCATTTTTTTTAACGATTTTGTTGATATTATAAGCATTTGTGAAATAATATATAAACGGTATAAATAAAAATGAATACATTTTTAAACCATAAAGAGGGTAAAAAAAAAAATCATGTTATACATTCATGTTAGTTAATGCATTAACTAATATTTAAAAAAATGAGCCCTTATTGTAAAGTGTTACCAAAACTTTTAATGATCTACACACATTTCTTTTAAATTATCTTAATGTACGAGCATTTGTGAAATAATTATATAAAACAATATTACCAGCACAATACATATTAATTATTCTATGTACTAATTTCTCATCCTATCTGAAGTAAAATTAATGCAAAAATAAGTAAAAGAGGAAAATAAGGATTAGGATTACAAAACTTCTTATCCTAACACTAGTGGACAACCTTAGAATTACAGCCTGAAATGTTAGCTGATGTTTTATAGTTTTTAATTTTCTGTTAGCCTTTAGAACATTATAAACTTATGAAACTAAGCATGTATCCTCAGAATGACATTCTTCGTATATATAAAAATATTGAAGAGTTAGGATAATGTACTTATATAAGAAAGTATAAGAATAAAAATAAGAAAATTACCGTTTCCTTTTTTACTGTTATTTTAATAAAATCACCATGGCAACACTGCTTAAGCTATCCAAAATCCGTTTGCAATTTAAGTTCCTCAATATTTTGGCATCATGTAGACAAAGTTTGGTGTGAATTGTATAATTTTCCTGGTAGTAGTAATTAATTAATTAACAGCCGTATTTTTCCAAAAATCCATATTCAAACCAAAATAGCCGACTTTCTGTTGGTCGTAGATAATGACTGTAAATTAGAAAGTTGCCCATCTTGATGTGAACAATAAGTGTACAGTTTGTTGATTGTAGGAAAAACTAACCCCCTCACTTTTGTCAAAAGGTGGCACTATAGAGCGCCTCCTCCACGCCCATTTCTGAGCTTTTGCCAGTGTCTAACTATCATTAATACTGATGTGTGTGTCAAGTTTCATGAAACTCTAAACATGTTAAGTGCCTCAAAAACACCAGAAAATAATATTAAAGGGATCATATGTTGCTAAAAAGAACATTATTTTGTGTAATGAAATGTGTTTATGCGGTTTAAGGTAAAAAAAAACACATTATTTTCCACATACATACTATTGTTTCTCCTCTATGCACCGCCTTTCTGATTTGTACAAAGATCATCGGTCTGAAAAGCGAGGTGTGCTGTGATTGGCTAGCTATCCAGTGCGTTGTGATTGGCCGAATACCTCAAGTGTGTGACGGAAATGTTACGCCCCTACCATATTGTGATGATGCCCTGTCCGGCCGGAGCGACGAGACAAAAACATTAAAACCCATTATAAACGAGGCATTCGTTGCATCCAGTGGGGACATAATTATGGATTATAATGACTTATACTGTCTTTTTACACGTTGCGTTGCATCGCGCCGTGTAAACATAAAACCACGTCTGCATTTGTGATTGGAGAAATGACAAACAACAAGCCCTACTCTACACTGCCCAAAACTCATGTTTGAATCATCAGTGGCAAATTCTTTAAATATAAAAAAAACTTACAGTCTGGGAGTCAGAACAGCCGGCATTGTAGTCTGCTCTACCAGGATCAGGAAACAGTCCTCCATAAAATGTGCAGCACACATCTAAATATTAAGGTTGAAGTGTTCTGGAACAGTGTTGTAAATACAACTTAACCACTGATTTCTAGTCGTGTCC